TGAAGGAACTGTAGGGATGATGTGGTTCGGGGAGAGTGAGTGTGTGGTGAGCAAACAGAGTCTCAGTCAGAAGACATCAATGGCAAGGAGTGGAATGATGGAATTAGGCAAGGGAGAAGGCAGGTTTCAATGCAACACCAGTAGCTTTTATTTATCTTTGATTTGATCTTTCTGTCATTGTCACAGCTCATTTTCGTGTGCTGCATCAGAAAAAGGATAAGCAAAGAGACAATATAATTACAAACAAACAACGGAGTGGTCAATTAAACAATAAACAACAAATAAGTATGGGTGAATATACAATCCACAACTAAACAGTAAAATGGTCAAGCGACAAACAATCTTACATGGCTCCTGGCACATGTCTGGGAACAAAGAGAGTAGGGTAGCAGAGCACATGTCAGCAAAGCCACCACAAAAGGCATACAAAGGAAACAATCAAAATGATGAATTGACCACTCACGTTAACTTGAAGACGCACACAAATCAGGATACATGTGCTGGCAGGGAGTGCAAAGGATGAACTGAGGGGTGAACAAACAATTTATAGTCTCCGCCCTTACCCAGCAGGTAAGGTGGGCGTGGTCAGGTGACAGGTATCTGCCACCTGACCACGCCCAGGTGGCAGGTGGCAGATACCTGCCACCTGACCACGCCCACCTTACCTGCTGGGTAGGTGGGCGTGGTCAGGTGACCACTCTAAAAAAGTAAGCAGTTACTTTACTGCGTTACTCCCTGAGTAAAGTAACTCAGTTACTTTAAAAGTACTTCCAACGTTACTCCCTGAGAAAAGTAACTCAAGCACTTTTAAAGTACTTTTGAGTATTCTACATTTCCTATTGGGCAATGGACCACAGGGCACTAAGCCTACATTTTTTGTCTCCAAAATTAAAGTTATGGACCACTTACCCTTCACTGAGATCCAATTCTCCCATCACAGCCGTCACTTTGACCAGTAGAAACACAGAACGATCTGCTGCCGTAGACAACTGTATGACAACAACACCCCAGCATTTTTTATTTTATTTTTAAAGATATGTTTTTGGGCATTTTTGCCTTTAATGGATAGGACAGCCAAGTGTGAAAGGGGGACAGAGAGAGAGGGGATGACATGTAGCAAAGGGCCACAGGCTGGACTCGAACCCAGGCTGCTGCAGCAACAGCCTTGTACATGGGGCGCCTGCTCTATCCACTAAGCCACCGACGCCCCTCCCCAGCATTTTTAATGTTTCCTCTAGGGATGTTACCACACAGAGTAAAAAGGGGAAATGATGTGTGAAACAGCAGAGGCACTTTGTCAACCCGCTGAGTTAACGTTACTGTCATTAGCATCAAGCTAGCAAACAATGGTACATCCTCACAGTCGGACATAAAGTAATAACATTAACATATAGTGGCAGGGCTTTTACTCACCACAACTGCAGAGGCTACATCTGCCATCTGCTGACCCTTTTAGGGGACTACAACAACATGTTGGCTGGCACATGAACAGACACAGTTCTGGCAGTGACTCAAATAATAGTGAAAGTAATAATAATAGGACAAGTATAACCCGATGACATCACACACACCGTGAAAGACCACCGGGGATAATTGGTGAGTACCAGCATGTAGCGTGTACCAGGCATAATGCAAGTCCTGAGTCTGAAATATGTCTGTCAGCGAGTCCTACTCCACCTATTTAGACTCCACCGTAGACAACAGCAGCACTTCTCCGACCACGTAGTGAGCCACAAGCTCCGTGGCTTCTTTCGGACTGACAGGTTTAACGTTATCTCCGTTATTAACCAAACGACAGCCGTTGCTGTTTCGGAGCTGAAGGACCAGCGTTCTAAAAGTAACGGAAGTAACTGATGTCTTGTTTGAAAATGTACTTAAGTATTTGATTACTCAAACAGCAAACTAACACATTAGGTTACTTGTTACTGCAAAAAGTAATCAAAGTACTCTAACGCGTTACTTTGTAACTTTGTAACGCGTTATACCCAACTCTGGTTTTTAATCCCAGTTCGTAGGAAAAAAATCACTTTCCAACCTGGTAGACCTATCGTTTCTTGGAGTAAAAGTCTAAGTGAAAGATATTATAAACATCAAAAATATTGATAAGGTCATACATGTCATATGTTTATACAGCAGAATAAATTATCTAAACAGATGGGGGCTGTGGCGTCTTTGTTTGTGTTGTGATGTTGTTGTGATGTATGGCACTGATAGTATACAAGCTTTCACGTTACTAGACACAAAAGTGATCTTGTCAAAGAGTTTTAAACTAGAATTCTGACCAAATGTCTCCCCTTCTGTTCCTGAGTTATGATGTTGAATAATGGCCAGAAAAGTGTTTCTGCAGGGCATTATGCTGTCACAGTGAAGTTGACATTTAACCTTTAAGATATGAAATGCCATCAGTGTATCCTAGAAGAGGTTTGTGCAAAACCACAAAACATGTTTTGTGATAACACAGTGACCTTGACTTTTGACCACCAAATTCTAATCAGTTCATCCTTGCATCCAAGTGGACAATTTTCCCAAGTGTGCGGAAATTCTCTGAAGGCCTTCTGGAGATATTGCATTCACAAGAATGAGACGGATGCAAGGTCACAGTGACCTTGACCTTTGACCACCAAAATCTAATCAGTTCATTGTTGAGCCCAAGCTCGCATTGTGCCAAAATTTAAATAAATAAATAAATCTCTCAAGGTGTTCTTGAGATATTGCCTTCATAAGAATGGGACAGACAGTTGAATACAACCTGAAAACATAGGCCATGGCTGTTGAGACAGAGGCATAAAAATCTCGGGGTAGAGTTCCCCTAGACCCCCATGGGGGTTAATAGTCAGTACAAACCAATAGAACTAGAGTGCTGCTCAGCAGCAGCAGTGCACTTAGTGCAACCACGGCTGGCCATAGGATACATAAAAGAGAAGAGTCCTAGTTTGAACTCAGATGTACCCATGGACAAGCAGGTAATGGAAAACTTCCCTTTTAGTCATGATCAAAAGCCTAGGTCAGGAAGGGACACAAAAGGGTGGAAACTAGGTGATAAGGAAAAGTGAGACCAGGTGAGCAGGAAAGGAGTTACTGCGAATCAGGAGGGGGTGGCTGAGAGTATGAATGGCAAGGACTTGGCTGAAGAAAACAAAACAGAGACAACACAAGTTCACTTGTGCAGCACCTCCTAAACACTGGGGCAATTCAGAATGCTTGATTAAAGACAATGAACAAAAATCTCAAAAATAAACACAAACAAACAAAAAGAAACACTAATTAAAAGCCATTTTTATTAAAAAAAAAGTTTTAGAGGAGTTTTAAAACTAAGGTAGCTTGTCTGATTCTCAATGGGAGGTTATTCAACAACTGTGGGGCCCTTACGGCAAATGCCCTACTACCCTCTCTTAAGCCTTGCCCTGGGGACTGAGAGCAAGAGCTGGTTGCAGACCTGAGAATATGAGCAGGGGTATAAGGTGTGAGACAGTTGATGATGTTGGAAGGGGCAAGGCTGCTCAGTGATTTTAAAACAACCAATACATTTTAGAATCAATTCTGGACATAAGGCAAGAATAGGGGAAATGTGCTCATATCTTTGAGTTCTAAGAAGACCCCTAGGTGCAGTATTTGGCACAAGCTGGAGCTAGCTGTTTGGATTTTTGGGGCAGTCCAACAAATAATGCATTACAGTAATCTAAATGGCTGGAGACAAAAGAATTAATGAGAGTTTGTGCATCACAGAATTAAAGAAATTATCTGATTTGGGCAATATTCAAGTCAGTTCAAGCCTGAATAAAAAATACTTCCACACTTTTAACCTTGTTGGTGCAATGCAAACCTTGGAAAGCTAAAGTTTGACTGGCACAATCTCTGTATGCTTGAGGTCAAAACACTTCAGTTTTGTAACTGTTCAGCATTAGGGAGTTACTGGACATCCAGGACCTTATGGCTGCAAGACTGTGAGTCTGTGAATGGGGTATCTGAGGCAAAGTCTAATAGATTCATGGACAAATAGATTTGTGCATCATAAAAATGGTGAATGGAGATGTGGATAAGGAACACTAAAGGGCCAAGAACAGACCCTTGAGGAATGCCGCAGGTGATATTTGCGCAGCTAGAGGAGACGTTCCCAACTGATACTGAGAAGGTTACTGTACATCACTCAGGCAAGACTTTAACCAGTCTAGAGTAGTCTAGAGTAGTCCCAGTCATGCCTCTCCAGTTTTCCGGTTAATCAGTTAATATGCCATGACCAACTGTGTCAAATGCAGCAGACAGGTCTAACAACACCAGATATTCAGATTTATATATTGCGAATAGGGTTACACCAATTCATCAGCTAACACTGGTACCTGCTGATTTTCACATTGTTGACTGCTATCAGCTTATCCGCAAATGAGAAGACATGTACAGATGGCTGCAGCTGATGTTCATCTGCTGTGTCACATCATAACTATGGCTTTAATTAGCCACAGAGATTTACTGACTTATTGAGAGAGGTAAAACAGTCTTTAAAGAAACAGTTCAATATATTGGGTAATATGCTTATCCACTTTCGTACTGATTTAGATAAGAGGATCAAAACCATTCCTATGACAATATAGTAAATATGTAACTGCTGCTTAGGATTAAGACTGGAAACAGAAAGAAACAGGTAACCTCAGGACAAAAGTCTCCAGTCAGTAACGTACTTTGATTACTTTTAAAGTAACCCTTACCCAGCACTGTTAAAAACATACAAAACCTGTAACTCCACAAAGTAATGCAATCTAGTTTTGGAAATTATTGTTTTTATCAAGTTAATGTCATCTTTAAAATGGTATATTTGCATGATTTTCAGCTGCTGATTGTTTGTGCTAACTCAGCTCCATACATCATCCACACCTATTACCCAGCCATGTTATCAGGTACTTTTCCACAGTTTTTATAGTTGTTGATAACCACTGACTCATAGAACATTCAGTCCCTTCGCAGCCAAATGTTTGCACAACTTCTTGCAGCAGTATTTAAACCTCAAATCCATGGTCTCTCCTCCACACTATACTGTCCTGCAGTTCTTTCTTTCTCAACTCCTTCTGCACTTTCTGACACTCAGCTTTGCTGCAAAAATGACCACAGCTGGTAAGGTAAGTACAAAATGCCATATGGGATAACTCTTATTCGTCAAGTTGCTTATGTATTTTTGTTCAAAATTCTCGGGAGATGATCAACTATATATTTTTGGAATAGTTAGATGGTGAATTTTGAATTTTCAAAACACTGTTTTTTTTAAATATCAGGTTTTGATGCAAATGTTTGCTTTTGGTAACTAAACATACATTTTATTCAGAAATTCACATTCATATTCAGATGTTTATGTTGTGCAGTCTTAAAGGGTAAATGGACTGCACTTATATAGTGCTCTTGTAGTTTTAGCGACCACTCAAAGTGCTGTACAACACAGCTCAACACTACCCATCCACACCGTATTCATACACTGGTGGCTACCATACTAGGTACCACCTGCTCATCAGGAGCAATAAACATTTACGATAAATGATTTTTGACCATTTAGGAATTGAAAATATGGTGAAAAATCCCTCACAAAAAACATTAAAACACCAAGACTTTGAGTAAGCACTTCCGCTGTGAAAACTGGTGATGTCACAAAAGGGTCATTCTATTAAATGAGGTCAAGTTTTTAAAAAAATGGTCTCACTCCAATGAAATGGTCAGTATGGGACTAACATTCATCAGATTCTATCTTTAGTGCATTGTAGAGGTTCCCATTTATTTCTGGGCGAAAAAAATATGCAACTATGCTAGGAATCTAGGTGTGATTTTTGATGCCAAACTCTGTTTTGATAATCAAGTCAAAAGTGTTGTTCAGTCTTGTTTCTTTCAGCTCAAGATGATAAAGTTGTTTATGCTTTTATTTATTCGCGACTTGATTACTGCAATGCACTTTACTCAGGTATTAGTCAAAGCTCCCTCCATCGTCTCCAGCTGGTCCAAAATGCTGCTGCCCGACTCATTACTGGGACAAAGAGGCATGAGCACATCACCCCTGTGCTTGCCTCCCGACATTGGCTCTCTGTTAGTTCTTAAATTGATTTTAAAATTTTATTACTCACTTTTAAGGCCTTAAATGGTCGAGCTCCGAAATATACTACAGACTTATTGACACACCATGTGCCCTCTTGACCACTGAGCTCCACGAATGGAGCCCTGCTGTTTACTCCTAGGTCGCAGTTTGTGATGAAGGGAGATCGTGCTTTTGCTGTTAGAGCCCCCACACTCTGGAATGCTCTGCCTATTGAACTAAGGCACACTAAGTCCCTTGCCTCTTTTAAATCTCATCTTAAAACCTTTCTCTTTGTAAAAGCTTTTGGGAATGTTTGACTGCTTTTATTTTATACTGTTTTAATTTGTTTTGTTTGTATTTATTCATTTTAACTGTTTTCTGCTTCATGTGTATCAGTCTTTTAGTCACTTGCCAAGGTAGTTTTTTTTACCACCTTATTTGGTTGTATCTCTTCTTGTTAAGCACTTTGTAAAATTGTTAAGAAAAGTGCTATATAATTAAAGTTTATTATTATTATTATTATAATTAGCCAATAAACTCAGAAGCCAACTTGATTAACCGCGAGGGATCCAGCTAAAAACAAATTATGGGTGGTCGCCAGTTTGAAAGTCCTAAGTGGCCCCCACAGAGACTTTGAAAAGAATAACAAGAGTCGTTTTGGGATTGGTCACAAGCTAAACTTTCCAAAAATGTATAGTTTATCAACTACCCAAAGATACTGAATGAAGGTTGCAAACAGGACATTATGACAGACCATATGTTTAACTGACGTGTTTTAATGAGTTTTTCAGAGTATATATAAAGTATAGCCTATGTATAAGCATAGTTGAATACTGTAGGTAGAAAAAGAAAACATCAAAAAACAATGCAATAAACCTTATATTAAAGGTATACTATTTCCGCCTGGTGGTTGTTTTGTTTGTTTGTTTGTTTAATTTGCATAGCTTCCTCTTGCATGCCTGCTGCTTATGGTTTCGTACCTGGCGTCTACCTGTTTATAATGTCTCAAATTCACCTGTGCACTGTGCCCAGAAATGTGAGATTTCATGCTGGTGTCACCGCCCTGTAGGTCATCAAATGTAAAGCAGCAGTGGCCTGGGAGCCCAACAAGCCTTTGGTGATTGAGGAGATTGAGGTAGCCCCACCCCAGGCCAACGAGATCCGCATCAAGGTGAGAGACATCCACTTACACATGTACACAGGAATGTCTTACTGCACTTTTGAGTTAGTGAATTAATGTAGAAGTGTAGAGATTACTGATGATTTTTACGACTTCACTAACCAGAAATCTGTAGTCACATCATCACACTAATGTCTTCTAATGAATGTGCAACTGACAGTGTTGGGGGTAATAAGTTACAATCATTCAGGTCATGAAAATATGCTGAAGCATTTTGTGAAAAACCTAAGACAGATGTCTTTATGCATGAAGTGTAAGTAGCACAATGGCTTAAGGCGTTACTGATTATACCTTCCATTTTGTCCATGAAAGTATTAAGAGATGCATTACTCAAAAGAAATGCATGAAAATTACAGCAATACAAATGGGACATTAATGATATAGAGTTAAAAATTACAGCATGCATGGCACTCATTTCAGCAGCTGGACATTATCTGCAATAATCCTTTAACGGGCTGAGACAAACTGATACAATGTTTTTATACACAAAGAATGAAATAACCTAATGTATTAAGATTACTGGCACAATTACATTACTTACAATTTCTCATAAACAGCTTTTCACAAAATTTTATAAATTTTGCCATGTCACTGTAGGATTTTGCATGGCACTTGCAGCATCAAGGGTCGTGTTATTCTGAATAATAAATGTGTTATCTTAAGACATTTTGCAGCATCAGCCTTGAGATTTTTTTTCCCAAGTCTTTGCACTCATGTCATAAGGCACTCTTCACCTAATGTGATGCTGTTTCAACAATGACGTTATAATGTGGCAATCTCTATCAAAATCACTTGATTGTGCAATGGCTCATTTCTAGATAAATGTGGATTTATGTCAACATTTCGATTATTGGTCATTTTAGGGTTTTAGTTGATATTACATAAACAAGGTCTTGGGTTTTAGAATATGAAACTTGTATCACCGAATTTGAACGATAAATAAAATTTTGAAGCATGAAGGCATGATGAAAAGCTAGCAGCAAATATTTGCCAAATGATTTCAGAGAAACAAAGTCTTATCTTTCGGATTATTAAAACCTCAAATTCAAAATGTGAATGAATGAACACATTGTTAGCTTGGTTTGATTCTCCACAATTCAATTGTTCAGTTCTGTTTTACAGAAACTATGAGATCCAAAGTATAATTCATTTAGATTTACTGCCATGGTAAGCAAAAGAGATAGACATAAAGTGGCATCTTCCTACCTTTGAAACAGTCATTAAGTCCAAATATGTGTTCATTCCTCCATTGTTTATATTCTTTTAGTCCTTAAGGGTCCAGTGATCAAAAATATCAGTAAGGTTTTCATAAAATGTATCCAAGCTGTGGATACTGTCATATATATAGTCCATTGCTAACTGTATACTAATGTCATTCTTCAGCGGTTCTACAAAAACTGTATTAATAACTACATTATAACTGTATTGTCTTGTCTTTCTGCACTTTGTTGGTATGCCTGTTTTTGTTTCCATGCTGGTTCAAAAAAAAAAAAAAAAATGTCCCCAAGCTTTTTTGTGTATTTTTCATCCAAGGACAGCCACTGGAGTACAGCATATGCTCTAATAAATAATTGTAACATTATGACTAGTAACCCAATAATGCTCAACCCTTACCTGTTCAAAAGAAACACGCATCAATGTTTTTAATATGTAGTTGTTGCCTTCGGTGCAGATTGTGGCAACTGGGGTGTGCCACACGGACCTGTATCATCTGTTTGAGGGTATGCCAAAAGACGGCTTCCCAGTAGTTCTTGGCCATGAAGGAGCCGGCATCGTAGAGAGCGTCGGGCCTGGAGTCACTGAATTTCAACCAGGTCAGTGAAAGCCTTCAGCCTCAACAGTTTAATTTGTCTAATAGCTCATGTTTTTTTTTCCCTGTCAGACTTTGTGGCAGCAATGTCAGCAATGGGTTGACCAAGGCCTATTTGTGCCATCCAGCCCAACAAACCTGTTTGACATTTGATTTTAGGTCTTGAAAGTTTGCCCTAAAATCCACTGTTTCTGAATTTCAGGAGACAAGGTGATTCCTCTGGTTATCTCCCAGTGTCAACAATGTCGCTTCTGTAAGAGTCCCGGAACCAACCAGTGTGAGAAAGGATGGTGAGCTCATCTTAAAATACACTTAAACACTTAAAATAACAAACTTATGATACTGTATTCCATTTCTGCCAATATATCCCCCTAAATCCTACACACTGGACCTTTTCTTTCAGTTGTCCGGGATGTGTTCATAAGGTCATAGACCCATTTGAGGGTGCACTTACAATTCATGCATAATGTCTCTACCTATGTCATAGTACTCATTATGTCAGTGGAGCAACTTCGGATGTTGTCTGCTGTAGATACAGAACAGATTGTTTGGGTCTTTGGTTTTTCATTTTTTGGCATATTGCTCATGTTAACAAATACTCGCTTCACCCTCTCAGGTTCAATGCAAAAATTTAGTCTGAAGTTGTATTTTCATTTGAATAAATTTTCTGTTCAGGGCTGCTGATCGTTTTGATGTGATGGCATTAGCAGACTCCAGATTTACATGTAAGGGAAAGAAGGTGCTGCAGTTTATCGAAACCAGTACCTTCTCTGAGTACACTGTGATTAACCAGATGGCTGTGGCTAAGATCGACCCCACTGCTCCTCTGGACAAAGTCTGTCTCCTTGCGTGTGGGGTCACCACAGGATATGGAGCAGCAGTTAACACAGCTAAGGTGTGTATGTTTGACTTTTGGGGATAGTCTAACATGTATTATTGAAGGCAGAACTAGTGAACTAGTGTTTTAAGAATTGAGAGGTCCAACCTAAAAAACCATGTTGACCAAAGTCTGTGCTACTTTAGGTAAAACCAGACTCTACATGTGCTGTGTTCGGCCTGGGAGCTGTGGGTTTGGCTGCAGTCATGGGCTGCAAGGCTGCAGGAGCCAAGAGGATCATCGCTGTTGACATCAATCCAGAGAAGTTTGAAAAAGCCAAGGTGTTCGGTGCAACAGACTTTGTGAACCCCAAGGATCACAGTAAACCCATCAGTCAAGTGCTGTCTGAGATGACTGACGGAGGAGTGGATTACTCCCTGGAATGTGTTGGGAATGTAGAAGTCATGGTGAGGCAGGTTTCTTAGCAGGTTTGATCCAAAAAAATAAAGTCTTCAAGAAGGCACATTATATGGGACATTTTTTCCCAAGAGGTGTTATTCAAATGTTAAAGCATACATTTTCTTTGCTGCTCTGTGGATTTGATCCCCTATGGCAACTGATTTTGTGCTGTTTCTCCATCCAGCGCAATGCCTTGGAGTCTTGTGTGAAAGGGTGGGGTGTTGGCGTGATTGTTGGTGCAACAGATTTGCAAGACTTTTCTACTCGACCTAATCAGTTCCTTGCTGGCCGCACATTGAAGGGCTCCCTGTTTGGAGGTGAGATGCCTATGTCAGTGTGGGATGGTAAGATATGACCATCCTACAGTTATTAATGGCACTACTTTAACTGTCACAGTTACATGTTGTCAATTATCATTTCTGATTGGTTGTCAATCTCAAGGGAGCGGGTCTTAATAGTAATTGAGGTAATATGAGCAACAGCGAAACTGGGATGAGCTAATCTGGGTATTGGGTAAGGCCTGCATCCTTTGTTGTTAACTGGCAACTGAAGGCATTTCACATACGTATGGCCTGTTGGTAGCCAGTACAGCCATCAGGTTTAATGGTAGTTAAATCCCCTCATTTAACAACCACCACTTGGGCTGTCACAGTAACCAAAAGGCTGTACACCTGATCTTTGCAATCATTCAACTGGTATTACTAAGATAAGAATCTGTTTGCTCTCATTTCATTTTGTGTGTTTTCTTTTTGTTCAGGATTTAAGAGTAAGGATGGTGTGCCTCTGATGGTTAGAGCCTACCTCAACAAGAAGGTGAAGCTGGATGAGTTCATCACCCACAACATGACTTTAGACCAGGTCAATGATGCCATGGAAACGATGAAGCATGGAAAATGGTAGATTTACACCTCCATACTTTCCACACCATTCAGGAATTACTAACCAGCTACACAGATGAAAAGTTTATACATGCAAGTCCTCTAACTGATTTTTTGGTTTTGCTCCACAGCATCCGAACAGTGCTGAATGTATCTCCACATAAAGACCATTATGTTCCTTTCAGTGATGCCAAAACATTTCAGTCAGGGAAGACTTAATTGAAAGAGATGTTTAAAGAGTAATACAATTAATTTATGGACAAAGTGCACAATGGGGGAGTTGAAGAAAAATTAGATCTGTGATTAGATCCCATCATGACCTCATAATTTAAAGGAGGTGATACCATAAGCTATACAGGAAAATCCCCTCAACGAAGTTTAGACACAGGCAGTGGTGAAGAGGTCAAGAGCAATGGCTGAAGATCTGGATGGATGGGATGTGTAGCAGGACTTCTGATGAGCTCACTGGAAGGTGAACTGGGAAGACTGGTTGTGATAGAAATATGAGATTAAAGGGGTGGTGGAGGATTACATCGATCTGACACTAAAATGATAGGTGACAGTGGAAAGGAAAGAAGTTTTAAACTTTGGCAACAAAGAAATAATTGGTTTACTTAGGTTGTGGCAGAATCTGATGCCTGATGTCTTGAACTCTGAACACTATTCAATGGAATACATGCAGATTGTGATAAATGTGTTCAAATAAACAAATGGGATCTGTGGCTTTCTTGTTTATTTTTTGTAATTTGTTTTACTTTAATTTACTTAGATAAATCTATCTAAATCCATTTCATTTACAATGACAGCCTTGCCAAGAAGCAGCTACAGGAGGCAAGTCATTAAAACATAGATAGAGCTGGTGCAGTAAAACAACAATACAAAAAATATATACAGTATATACAACAACAGAGGTGCATGTACTGTGTTCCAGAAGAGCAAATTCAAAAACAGGTGCAGTCACCAGAAACTATTGCTTGTAATGAGCTATATATGAGCAGGGTAATGGAATCAAGGTTTTGAGTTTAACACCTTTTGCAACTCATTCCAGTAAGTAACGGACAAAGCAGGTGCCAACTTTACAAATGACCATACTTGTGAATTTTCTAGAGTGTAAATTGCAGTTACAAAGCGGATAACATTATAGTAGATAGCATCCAGTTTACTTAGATTTTTGGCAAACTTGTAGATTAAGTCAGTGTCACGATAGTCCAGGACTGGAAGAATTGTCATTTTAATCAAGATGTACTTTGCAGAGCAGGTGAAAAATACTTTTTGTTGGTACAAGAAACAAATTTTTGATCTAACCTTCGAGAGCAGTGTGCTGATGTGTATTCAAAAGGAGAGTTAGCTGTCTAGCCACATGCTCAGGTAATTATAGAAATTGACAAATTCGAGTTCTGACCCATCCAGGAAGGAGATTTTGAGGTGGCTGGAGACTTGAGGTAATTTCTGGGGGAAGACTATGCATTTTATTTTATTAGTATTCAGGAGAAAGTGAAGGTTGGAATGAGTGATTGGATACCGTTGAAGCTGTGTTGCAGGGAAGTCAGGGCAGCATTCAGGGCAGGGCAGGAAGTGTACAAAATAGTGTCATCAGAATTCAAAGATAGATCCAAGGACGAACTGGGATACATCATCAGTGATGTTACCTGAGATTTATATGGATGTTTTGGGTCTTTCAACATCATACGCCCTGCCTCAAGTGACCCAGCTGGGATAGATCAGATTCTGACTTGTGTCCAAGCAGCATTGTGCCACAGATTGTTCCCTCCCCCGACCCACAGCCATCTCAAGGCCTCCTCAGCAGCCTCTGTGGTGGACTTCATGGCTTTCTTCTTTGCAGCTCTAGAGATGCCAAGTTGGGTGTGGACTCTGCAGAGGGAATGGGCAGCATAGCTTCTGCATGCTACCTCGATGGGCTTGTGCCCAGCATTGATCCACCAGCTCCTGGCACTTGGCCCACTTCCACTCAGTGGCCTCTTCAATGCAGTCTCCCCAAGGCACTGTTCACTCAATTAGGTTTCATCAGGCCTCAGTTAAGATGATGTTTTGTGGCCCAGAAACTTGTTGCCTTCCCAATTTGTAGCTCCCAATCAGATGCAGTGGTAAGCAGATGTGATGGTGTTCCTGGCTGAGGTCTGGGCTGCTCTCCGGCCTTGATGAAGGTGGTCTGTTTCCTGTTGTAATGGAGGTGCTCGCTGCTGGTTATAGCTTTGGAGATGCACTCTGCCACTGCATTAAGCACTTGGTTGGAGCGCCAAAGTTCTTCTCCCAAGGCTTTCAAGCAGCTACAGAGGGTATGCTCAAATGATCCTTTTCCAGGATATAGAGGGCATAGATGGGCATAGATGGGGTTTAACTCTTCCCCCAGACACAGTGTTTCACTGAGCTTGGAGAAACATCACATACAGCTTGGAACATAAACTCAATGCACTGGGGTTCTGCCTACCAGATATCAGATCTTCCATTTTACCACACTCCCCTTGTCCATGCTCCTTCCTACCTTCCTGCTATTCTGTTCTTCCAAAACACCTGCCCATACCTCCAGGACTAGTTGGCATCTATCCCTGCCCTGTACCCTGTCAAGAATGTACCCACTTTCTGCAACCCTGCTTGCCAAGACGCCACCATCCCTACCAATACCCTATGTCTCCGCTGAGATCCTGCTACCTCATGTCCTTCCTGGGCCTTCCACTTCCTCACTCGTCCGTGACTCAGTTTCTGCTGTTGCCACATAAGTCTCCCTGGAGTCCCTGAAGTTTCCAGCCAGGCTGCTGAAAGGAAGCTGTAGTTTGTTGCTCTCACATACAGACTTGCGCTGCACAGGCTGCGCTGTAGGTAGTTGCTTATACCCTCCAGCACCCCCTCTGTCATCAGGGATAACTCATACACCAGCAGAGGCCAGAGTATTCAAAGTAGTGTTGGTACATCCTAGGTTTGAATTTGCTCAGTAAATGTGACTTGTCCATTGTAGTGGTTTGGGTCTCAAGCTCCATGGTGGTTGTCTGGATAGTAGGGTTGGGTACCGAAACTCTGTACTTTTTGTACTTGGTACTGATTCACGTCGGTACTACCGAGTACCGATTCACTTAAAATGAATCGGTGCCAAATTTCGGTACCTGAGGTGGAGGCGGAGCGAGAGTGCATGATTCGCACCTCAGACTCAGCAACAATGGCAACAAAAAAAAATGTGCAGACAAAAGTTAACGTGCAGCACTGTTCCTAAATGTTCTCAATAAAATGTTGAAACTGATATGAACTGATATCACGTGAAACAGCGAAACTGTAGCTTTCCGACAAGGCCAAGCATATGTCGGTAATCCAATGTTTTCACAGCAAAATGTTTTTATAAAGTTACAATAAAATGATGTACAACAGAGCTTTCATACAGCTTTGTACACACATTACTCTTGGATGGATTACTCACGAATGCAGGCTCGCACAGAAATGCCACGCATATCACATGAAAGCGCAGGACCACACACATCATTGTGCTGTCATCCCATCACGCTATAAATCCAGATCAATTGTCTACAATATAAAAACCTGACGAATTTCTTTGCAATCCATTATACAGATCTTGTTATCAGTCACTTCATATAGTGAGGAATATCGTATCTTACCACGTCTTAGGCTTGCGTGTGTTTCTCCCTGTCTATCCACATTTGTATTCCGGCTTTCAAGATGCAAATATCTCCATATTGTCCAGTTGACACTCCATCAAACTTTGTATGACAAGACAAGCGCACTTCACCTTTGCGCACCCAGACAACTGCAGCCTAATTATGCATGCTGACAGGGCAGTAGTCATCATATACATTGAGGGGGACACGTGCCCCCTCCCCAATGCCCAAAATGTTCCCTCAATAAATAACTGAAACTGAAAAACAAATATTATCTTGGAGGACATCATTGCACTTGGTTGACTATTTTTCTATTATCTTAGATGTAAATATTGGATGTTTCTTTCAGATAAAACATTTTTGACTTGTGAATGAGTCAATGGAATTTCTTGCAATAATGAAAAAATACTGGCAATTATGTCCGCCTTGCACAAACCACATGTTTTGGACAGCTGTGAAGTCACAGAATGTCCCAGCATCATGGTTCCTATATTGCCAGATTCCAGAGAGTCTCCCCTCTTCATATATGGCAGAATATGTCTACTTCCAACTTGCTATGGTGAGATACATGTAAAAATGTAAGAATTTAGGCACACGGATTTGTTTTTTTCATTGATATAAAAATTAATATAAAATACAGGCACATAGAAGGACATGGAATGATGGCAAATCTGGTTAGCCCAGATTGTCCTGAAAAAAAAACAAGATATAGCATGTGTATGTAGCCTTTATAATGACTGTGATATGAGTTTAAAAGTAAAGGCAGTAAAAATACCCCAAAAAGGCCTAGGGCCCATAGGGTTAAAAAGTACCGAAATAAGGTACCGTTTGGTACCTGTACCGTATCGGTTCAATTATGAAAGGTACCCAACCCTACTGGATAGTAGCTGCATTGGCAAGGGTACAGTCGAAGACTCTGACCAAACTCTTAACTGGTTTCTCCCTGATGGAGTGCAGTGCTATCCAAGAAGAAACAGAACTTGTCCATCACTTTGCCCCCTTTATAACACCAAGGAGCTGAATTTGGCTGAGTTAAAGCTCGTCCTTGACCAGGCAATGACTTTTTCCAGGCCCTTAAGTGTCCACCTGCTGCCAGGTGCTGATGTTGTGGTGACACTGAGGCTCTGATGGGGGGCTGCTGTGCACTGAACTTGGTCAGGGGGCCTTTGCATTCTGCCTCTGCTGCCTCGCCCACAATGTTCTTGCCATGGGTGGAGAGAATGACTGAAATTGTGCACCAAGTTATAAATAGTAAATATAAGGACAAGTCAATATAATACAAATTTAGTGGAGCTGACAGAGAAGCAGCTGGAATCGTCCATGCTTCATGATGTAAAAATGGGGTTGAAGCTGATAGCTTAGATGGTATCATAGATGTCAGGATTAGTTTGTTTAGAGATCTTTATGAAGCCTAAATCGGTGTAAATTATAATTGAGTAATCCCTTTTACTTTTAAATTATCCTTATCAAGTGAGACGTGAAAGATGCATTTATAATGCTTCCCAGCCAACAACAGTCATTTTGTGCCCTCAAAATTGACCCATGAGCCTAAGACATAGTTTCCTGAAGCCACCTTATAAAACACACATCAGTACATCTCTCTACTGAATAAATGAGTTGAGTGTCGACAGTGTTTCAGAGTGATGTAGTACATAAACAAGAAGCTGAGAATGGATGAATTTGTGACTCACACTCTGCCCTTTAAGAAGATCACTTATGATTTTGATCTCACGAATACTGGAAAATTGAAAGCCTTGACTTAAGATTTATTTGGAAGTTGTTTGTTATGTTAACATGCATAGTGGTCTGGTGTCCCTCTAGGTCACTGCTGCCCTCTGTTGAGGAAAAAACTGAGAGCTGTGAGACAGGGTCTTATATTAGTTTGTCCCCTGTTATGTCGTGTGGTTTTTTTAAGGATTAATGAGGTGATTGTTATCTTTCTTCTTTTTCCAGACGCAGCCAGAGACAAGCAGGTCACCTAAAAGTTCAAATTTACTGGTGATCAAAAGCCTAGGTCAGTCAGGCAGAACAAAAGGGTGGAAAATGATAAGGGGAACTGAGCAGCTGAGCAGAAAAAAGGGTTACTGTGTAACAGGAGGGAGCAGCTGAGAGAATGAATGACAAGGAGTTGGCTCAAGAAAACAAAAAAGACCAAACAAGTTTACTTGAAAACATCTCTATCACACTGAGGCAATTCAGAATGTTTATATAATACACCATTTGTAGACAACATAAGGAAAATAAAACAGGTGCAAATAAAACATAAAACAATGAAATACAAAGAGTTTGATCTAACCACTAATCTGGCATTCTCTGCACAATATTAAAATCAGATTCAAAGTTTCTTTCAAGTGGCTTTTATGCACACAATCTAAACCAGCTGTTTCCAAAAGTTAAATGGAAACACACACAGAACCTATCATGCAATCCCCTTTCATTTAATATTTATAACATCAATCTTTTAAGGCTTAACCTCACCAAATTTCTCTTGTGATACTTTTACACTGATTTTGCCAATCAGCAACCACTGTGGCTGAGTGTTAAAGGAATCAACCAACATTTTGGGAAATACATTTATTTACTTTCTTGACCTAAGTTAGGCAAGAAGATCTATACAACTCTCACATGCGTACCGTATGTAGCAGGAGCCAGCAACTGGTTAGCTTGGGTTCACTTAAGGACTGGAGACAAGTCGAAAGAGGCTCCATTTTTTCTCCATTTCAAGAGGGGTTATGTGCTGAGCAAGGCCAGGCTAATTGTTGTTATGCTAAGCAGCAGCTACGTATTTACTATACAGACATAAAGACGTATTAAATCTTCTCATCGAGCTCAGCAAAAAAGTAGATGAGCATATTTCCTAATATGTTTAACTAGTGTTAGGACCGTGGAGTAGAAGCACTGCTGGGTCTTTGTGCTGATCACACACAGAGGCTCTTTGGATACTTCAGATGTACTGTGCTTATTCCATCTTGTGAAGGTCTTTTTACATGGGTGGAATATTGTCTCAAATAAATATAAATGGTAGTCTCCTTCAAAAAAATCCAAGGCATACTGTAGGATTTGTGAAAATGTAAAATGCCTTTATGTTACATGGCAGTTTGTATATAAATGACCAGTGCATTGGGACCAACACAGGTCTTCATCAGGGATGCTGAGCTATTCCTTTAAAGCCCGTTGTCCAACTTCTCTTTAAATAAGGCAACGGGTCTTGATAGCTAGGAGTGGCTGATATGGCCTATAAATAATATTGCAACATTTATAGACTATAGTGCGATACACAATATGAAGGCTATCTTAATAATTTAAAATCTCCTCTAAACCACTGTGGACTAGTAAGATACAAAACCACCAAATAAACTATGGTTACAATAAAGTTTGATAAGTAACTACTGTTGTGTAATAAAGTTAGATTAAATGCTGTTATTTCAAAGTTAAATAACACATTGTTTAAATGACGCTAAATAGAGTATTGTTATAATAAATCTAAACAAAGTGCTGTTTTAATAAAGTTAAATATAGTATTGTTACAATAGATAAACTATGGTTAAAATAAAGTATTGTTAAAAATGAAATAAATCAAAGCGGAGCCAATTGTGCTTTTATTCTGAATAACCCGACTCGTCTTGGGCCGGAAGTGTTGATGTTTCGGGCGTGAACTTCCGGTCCAATGTCAATAGCGGAAAGTTAAAGTATTATCGCGGCGCTCTTGTACGTAGTGATTCATTTGCTGTGGGGTGGAAACATATTGAAAGCTCTCAAGTTTGTGTATTAATGAGATTAGCTAGTCACTCTTGGAGCCCTGCGGATACACAGGCACGCGCCTCGCGTGCACCCCATAGGAGAGAGTGTTCCGGGTGGGAGGTGGAGTGCGTGTGACCAGAGATATTGGATGAAGCGAGATACCCCACCGTAGGCTTATCCAGTGTTAAGAAAACGGTTACTCTTCCTGTCTCCTAAGTGGGCGTGGTTAGCCCTCCCTCCAATCAGAGCCTGCTCTCCCTCAACCCACCACCGTGTTGAACAGATGCTCTGTGGATGTCTGTGTATGCGGATCGAGAAGCAGGTGGAATGAAAATACATTCTTCCTATTATTGCAGCCTATTGTTGCACAAAGCTTGGGCATTTTTTATTTATTACTAGCGGTAAATAACTGTTTGTAAGCTAACTGTGATTTTACCGCCTGTTTATCAAGATCACAAGATCTTGCGATAACTTTTTTTCTGAGACGGACAGGGCTCAAACAAAGTTAATTTTCTCTTGATCTGTGCGGATGAAAAATGCAGCTTTAGTGTCAGAATGTTGGTAAGATGTGTGGCTTGTGGAAAACGAACCCAATATTTACTTTAGTGACTATTTGGCGAAAGAATTGATCATAAATTGTGATCACTTTCATTTTCCTCATTGACGACAATACATTCAGAGCTGCCGCAAGTCTCCTACGGGGGCGTGGCACTGACGTCACTGAATCAGGAAGTGAGCTGAGTTGGTATCTCGCTTCATCCAATATCTCTGGTGTGACGTAGTGTGTTTGTGAGTCTCTCCGTGTGTGTGTGTGTGTGTGTGTGTGTGTGTGTGTGTATGGAGTTGTATTCCTGTCTTCATTAAAGAGCATGGTTTTTCAATGTGAGCAAGATTTATTAATTTCACTTTTAGATTTTGATTTTCTTTTCCCTTAAAGCCCTGCCCACGCACTCAAATAGCCCCTGCTTGCACTTACAGTTGCTCTGCTTCTGCTCAAACTGTGCTGAATCTTCTGCTCTCAGATCTTTGCTCTGACCTTGGATTTTTTTTTTGTGCAACATCCCTGTCAGAATCCCCCAACCAGTAGAATGCCATGCAGTGGTGTAGTGGCAGTTGATGAGAAGGGTGTACTTTGAGGTAGATGGATAAGTTACCTAGGAGGAAGCAGGTATACTCTTCTATATATTCCAATGCCATTATGGCTTATAGGTGGGTATACCCCATTTACTTACGTATACCCCAAGTGGTGACCAATAAAATGATCCCTGCCTTGTCCCAGGCGCGTTTGTTTTACTTCTTAGAGCGTCCCATATAGGCAATTACACTTTATTAAATGTACCTTCCGTGCTTTCTTTACAAGTTTTTACAAGCCGCATGTGGCTCGTTAGCCCCTCTCCCATGGCTCCTTGCGGCTTTCATAGTTAAATACAATGAAATGAATAACCGTTATTTTTTTAACATCTTAATTTTCATTCATTCATTCTTTGACTATAAAATTGTGTAGCCTATATACCGATTTAAAAAAATGTTTTAACATTTTGTCAACTCAAATGCGCATCATACGTCTGTGGTCTGGTGCCTTTTCCGCTGACAACATCACTAGCAATAGTTACAGTAGTCTTGAGTCTCTCTAGCTAGGCTAGCTGTGGATTCAGAATCCAAAAAGGGAAAAGTGTCAGGGAGGTTAAAGTACCATAAATAGCCCACTGCAGAGTAGCCACCTTGTGCTAAAACAAATTAATGAATGCCCATGTAGATCTATTAGTAATGTTGATAGGCTAAATTCGACTTAAAGGCTGTGTTACATTTATTGTGAGACTCAAATATGTTTTGTGACTCTAGACAGATTTTTTTTTTCTTTTTTGGCTAGAAATGGCTCTTTTGATTGTAAAGGTTGCTGACCCCTGAAGTAGCCAATCAGCTGGTAAACATGGACCAAAAGAATCTCAAGGAAGATTATTTGTTTTATTGGTGCTTTTATTTCCTACAAATTGAAGTGATAAAGTCATATTTGCAGCTCAAGAATACTTAAAGGTGCAGTTTTGTCCTGCAGCACACCGACAGGAGGTCGATGTGCTTTATGGCTACTATTATAGGCTACTAAATGTAGCTAGCTATCACAGTAAAAAGTACAGGCGCTGGCATGTTTTTTAACTGCCTTGTTATCCTAAATGTCATAAAGAAAGCAAGGGAAGTGCATTCAATGAAGCCTTGAAGGGTGAAAGTGGATAAACCTGGTTCAAGCACCCGCACAGGATGCTCTAAGAAGTAAAGTGAAGCAATTGCAGTGAGGCAGGGATCATTTCACTGGTCAACACTACACCTGGCATTGGGAATTTTGACAGGGATGTTGCACAAAAACATCCAAATGCAGAGAAGAGATCTGAAAGCATACAATTCACAAGCACACAGAAGGAGCCTGAGTGCTGGAGTGCAGGAAATCCATGAAAGCAACAATATATCTAAGAGTAAGCATTTAGAGCAGAAGCAGAGCAAATGAGCAGGGGCTAGTCTCAGGCCAGTGGCTTAAAAAAATAACTGGACAATGTATATATATATAATATATATATATATTCTGCTATAATATTTTTATACATCCGACATGCAACAGGCAATACACTGAGTATAACTGATGTTGCCCTGCCCAATCAATAGCTAGTTAAAGCCTGGTGGTGATTTGAAAATTATTGTTTTATCAAAAAGTTATTTAGGTGTAAAAAGAGATTTACATACACTTGTGTTTGTTCATTCCACACAGGCTCCGACTCTCTTGCCTAGGTTTGCTTCTCTGTGAACTCAAGGAAGTGATAACAAGTCTCCACCCCTCTGAATGTCAAACTGTGCTGGCAATAGAGTCCAGGGTCTGTTGTTGTGTCCTCCCCACTCCTGCGCTGCAGCTGGTCTCCTCTCTTAACTCCTCTCTCGCTTGTTTACTCTTATCTTGGCAGCAAAAATGGCCACAGCTGGTAAAGTGAGTATAATGTGACATGTGGAAACAAATATTTATCTAGTGTTTTTATTAGGGGTTTTGTTAATGTTAATATGTGCATTCATATTTCCTATGTCACATGATGTTTGGCAAATCTGTGTAAATGCACAAACACTGAAAACTGGTGCCACAGTATGCACAGTAATGAAACTAACATCACCAAGCAATCAGACTCATTGATATCATGTATGATAATTTATAATATGAGTAATAATCATTTGAGTGTGCTTCTCTATGGTGTGGATAAGTGTAATACCAAGTTGATATCTGCTCTGATCCACTATTAGAAGGGCATGTCAAAGCTTTCCTGTGCAGTATTTTTGCTGCATATCTGGTTACAGATATGTATCACATGTAACAGTTAAGTTATTAACCTTGAAATACCCTATTTTCTGTCTCTATCTCTGCCTCAGTGACTATCTCAAGTCCAGTTATGACTTGGCACACAGTTTGAAGCCATCCTCTGTGGAACTGTTGATACTGGCAAAGCTGAGGATAGTATGTTGGGTAGGGTAGTAACCCAAAAATAATGATAAAAATGAATAGAGCAAGCCCAAGACTGCATTACATTTCCATGGTGAATTAAAGAAATAATTATGAATTGCAAAAATACTCAAGAATTCAAGAGAATCAGTTGTTCAATTTTTCAAATCTGAACAACTGATTCACTCAGTTACATTAACTGTTGGGATAAAAATTATGTTTGTCAAATAGCCATTGTGTGGACTTCAACCTGTTGGTTTTCATGTTTGCCTTTACCAGGAGCAATTCTGTTAGAGTCAGTGAAGCCCTTTGCTGTTAACATAAGTTGTAAAGTAATAAATTCATAAAAAGAATGCGTGGTGGATGTGAAACCCATTTGTTTGCTTGATATAATACTGAATGGGCCTCTAGCTGAGTGTCTACCTTAAATTATAGCACAAAGACTGAAACACTATATCACTGTTTTTGCTAAAAAGCATGTTGCTTTTTACAGTAGATGGGAAAAGCTGTCAAGCTTTTTTGTAGGGTACCCTTCTTCAAATTGTTTAACAGTCCCCAGTAGTATTTGTCATACCTCATGCTGGGTAATTTCATGTGGTGTCACTGCCGTGTAGGTCATCAAGTGCAAGGCAGCAGTGGCCTGGGAGCCTAACAAGCCTTTGGTGATTGAGGAGATTGAGGTTGCTCCGCCCCAGGACGACGAGGTCCGCATCAAGGTGAGCAATGTGCGCTATCAGAACACACACATACAGACAGAGTTCCGGTTCAGATTATTTTATTGTTATGTACACAACAGTTATAGTGAAGCAGGGAATAAAACTGCTCTTACAGATACAAAGAAGTACACAGACATTTACATATCATGTAGTATCTTCGTAATGAGAACAGAAGTAATACATATGCTGAGATGTGAACAGCAGGTTGTAAGTAGGTGGTGCAGTAGGTTATATATGTACAGTACCAGTAAGTCCAGTGCAAGTCTGGCAGTAGTATCAAGTAGTAAAGTTTAAAGTGACACCCATGCATAGGGGGTGTGTTTGTGTGAGTAAAGTGTCATAGTGACTAGCCTGAGAGCTCAAGAATTTAGCAGTCTAATGGCCTGGATGGCCATGGATTACGCTGCCCCCGAGCCAGGTGGTGCAGGACCAGATGCTGCAGTACGTTCTGGCATGTCCCCAGCCAGTTTGTGGTTGGGATGATTAGGAGCTCTGATAATGCCGTTGGCCTTCTCCCTGTACTCCGGGGTGTAGATGTCCTCCATTGATGGCAGCTCCATCATGGTAATGTGCTGAGCAGTTTTTACCACCCTCTGTAATGCCTCATGGTTGAGGGCGGTGCAGTTGCCACACCAGGCGGTGATGCAGCTGGTCAGGATACTCTCAGTGGTGCAGTTGTAGAAATTGCAGAGTATCCTGTAGTCCATAGCTCCTAAGTCGCAAGAATGTGAACCCAGAGTTACCTGAAGCTGCTGATTCTGTCCAGCGTAGTCCCATTGATGGTGATAGGGGTGTGTCCATCTCCCTGTTGCTACTGGTAGTTCCCGATCAGCTCCTCTGTTTTGCTGACGCTGAGATGGAGGTTGTTGTCCTGGCATCAAGATGTCAGGACTCTGACCTACTCTTGGCTCTTGGTAGGCTGTCTCTTCACTGTTGGTGATCATGCCAATGACAAGTCATGTTGGCAGCAAACTGGTGGTGATGGTGTTGGACCTGTGGGTGGCCACGGTGTCATGATTGGACATGGAATACAGGGGAGGGCAGGGGCGGACTGGCCATCTGGAGGTTCTGGAGAATCACAGAACGGCCGGTACTCCAGGATGGCCGGCGGCCGCCACGCAGTCATCACCGTTTTTTTTTTTGTTTGTTTGTTTGTTTTTTTTCTACTGATAATCTACTGTTCCACGTCCAGTCCGCTAGGTGGCAGCCTTTAAATTGGATGCCAGCCGGCCCATAGATATCTATGAGCCGGCCGGCTGCCAATCAAATTGAAGAAGAAGGAAGCGCATACCGTATGTGCACCGGTTGTTGTGGGCTCGGCCGAGTCAAAGTCCAGGGCTGTTTTTCAGCCCCAGTCCACCCCTGGCGGAGGGCTGAGCACGCAACCTTGAGCAGTGCAAATGTTGAGAGTCAGGGTAAAGAAATGTGGTGATGCCTATCCTTATTGCCAGGGGTCTGCCCATCAGGAAGTTCAGGATCCAGTCACAAAGGGGAGTGTGGAGTCCTAGGTCTCTGAGATTTATGACAAGTTTGGAGGACACAATAGTACTGAATGCTAACCTTGTGAGAATGCTGTCAGTGAACAGCATTGAACAGCTCAGGTGTTCCTCTCCCAAGGGGGAGATGGCAGTGTAGAGGGCCTCTCCCACTCCCAATTACTTTGTCCCTGTATAGTTTCATTGCACTACAAGCACATATCTGGACTTCCTGTATTCATTCAAATTGTCCAAGTTTGTGTAGTTTGCATGTTACTGTTGTTATCATGAAACACATAGCACTCCATAGTGCTGAAGCAGTGACACAGGGCTGAGAACATCTGCCAGACCAATGCAGAATGATCTGCTTCAACTGTGTTTTATTGAAGCTTCTGCATGAAGGCAGGAAGGAGCAGAAGTAAGAAGTAATCTGATTTCCCCCAGGTTCTCGAACTCTGGCCATGAAGTTTTTTTTTTTCAATTCTGCCAAGGTTATCCAATGCATGGATGGTGCAGGTGTGTGGTGCAGTGTATACTGCTGTGAGAATGACAGATGTAAACTCATTCAGGAGATAACGAGGATGATGTCCAATCATAAGGTGCTCCAGGTTAGGAGAACAGACAGTAGAAATGATCTCCCCATCTGAGCACCACTGATTGTGGATTATAAGGCAGTAACTCCCCTGGTCTTCCTGAGTTGTAATGTCTTTTCCCAGCAGTCAATGTAGAGCCCTTCTGGAACAATGGCCAAGTCCAGGACCAAAGGGTCAAGGTAAGTCTCTGTCAGAACACTAAGCATGTTACAGTTCTTAGTGTCTTATTGAAGAGCCATGCCACTCCTGAGTTCATCCAATGTATTATCCAGTGACTTAACATTTACTCAACTAATACTCATAGAGCAGTGCCAGTCTGCAAGTGTCTCCAACCTGTTCAGGACCCTGGCCCATGACCCTCGTTACTTTGTCTCCTATGTGTTCTAGGTATAGCAACAAATAATCCAAGCCACTGATATTCCTTATTGTTTACTGATCATGGTGAGAAAGTGCTGTCCATTGATCAGATGTGCAGAAGTTGTTCTCTATCATATTGTATGATGGGGTCTCCTTGGTAAGCGCACATGCAGCCCCCCCTTGTGCTGTCTTTCCCACATATTCATGTGTTCACATGTGTTACTGCATTTGTTTTTATCACTCTTCTCTGTTACTACCAATTTGTGACAAAGTGAGGTTGCTCCAGAGTGTACCAATACAAAAAAGTTCTGCTTAGTGCAACTCATAAGGTCCATTTAGTGATACTGTATGTGAGATATTAACACCAAATAAAAGTGACAATATATTGTGAAAATTTTGCCAGTGCTGCTGAACCCACTGAGAGTGAACACCCTCATAAGCCTGTTCTATCAGTCATCTTTGTGTATTCATTGTTTGGTTTCTGTCTTCGGTGCAGATTGTGGCAACTGCGGTGTGTCACACAGACCTGTACCACCTTTTTGAGAGTATGCCTGAAGAAGGCTTCCCAGCAGTCCTCGGCCACGAGGCAGCTGGGATCATAGAGAGCGTCGGGGCAGGAGTCACTGAATATCAGCCAGGTCAGTTTGGAATTGTACAAAATATCTGTGTGTTCAGCAGAGTTGGTATAACGCGTGACAAAGTACGCGTTAGAGTACTTTGATTACTTTTTGCAGTAACGAGTAACCTAACGCGTAGGTTTGCTGTTTGAGTAATCAAATACTTAAGTACATTTTCAAACAAGACATCAGTTACTTCCGTTACTTTTAGAACGCTGGTCCTTCAGCTCCGAAACAGCAACGGCTGTCGTGTGGTTCTAATAACGGAGATAACGTTAAACCTATCAGTCTGAAAGAAGCCATGGAGCTTGTGGCTCGCTACGTGGTCGGAGAAATGCTGCTGTTGTCTATGGTGGAGTCTAAATAGGTGGAGTAGGACTCGCTGACAGACATATTTCAGACTCAGGACTTGCATTATGCCTGGTACACCCTACACGCTGGTACTCACCAATTATCCCTGGTCGTCTTTCACAGCGTGTGTGATGTCATCGAGTTATTCTTGTCCTGTTTTTACTTTACTATTATCTGAGTCACTGTCTGTTCATGTGCCAGCCGACATGTTGTTGTAGTCACCTAAAAGCGTCAGCAGATGGGTGATTCTCTGAATCCGGTGTACTTTGTGTCCCACAGGTTTACCTCAAAGATTTTCATATAAAGTAAACCACAAAATACATTTTAAAGCAAGAAATGGAAAGACCTATGTGTCTTTGCATTATAACACACAAACATATTTTTAAAAATTATGTTTTGAAAGATTTCATGGGTTGCTGAGGAGTAGAGGTCAGCCAAATATGCATATCCCCACTGACCAAAGTTACTTTTTCACTGAATATAAAACAAATAAAAATAGCCAGTAACCCCAAGTTTTTTACGCTAATATAATCATTTGCCCGTCTACTTTAACTTAAATAAAAAAAATCTGAGAAAAATATATGAATTATTTATAAAATAGCACTATTTAATCATGTCCCCCAGTTTTGTTCAACACCGTAACAGCATACCAATTTCCCCCTTTTTAAAAATAATGATTCAGTACAACTTCCTCAGCACCCAGGAAGTGACATCACTCAAGTCTTTTCCAGCTCATACTGTAAAGAGTGGTAAGTGTTAGCATACTTTCTTACCTATATTTCATTGTTTTTATCATCAGACTGACATCGTCAAGCTCAACCTTTCAACACTGTTACATGCATAAATGATATTTACTGTTGTTTGGGAAAAAGCGAACAATAGTGTTGTGCAAAATATATTAATTTCTTGTTTTCCTCATGCCATGTGGTGATCCATACCCTTGCTAACGTGGACTTATGGCTAGTTTTAGCTAAAATCTTCAACCCCGTAACATTCAACCCCGTAACAAAAAACACTGTTATGGGGTTGAATCATTGTTACAGGGTTGAAGGTTGAACTGTTCTTAAGCCAGCCAGCCAGCCCCTTTTCTCTTAATCTTATTTCATGCTCATTATTTTCAGATATCAGATGGCTAAATCAAATGCAGAGAGGCAAAGAGAGTATAGGGCGAGAAGAAATGCAGATGCACAGAGAAGGGAAGAATACCTCAGGAAAGAGCGTGAGCGGTGGAAAAGAGATACAGAAGCAGGGAAAAAGAAATCCATCCATAACCTGAGCAAGAGAGCTCAAAGACATAAGTGGAAGGAGTGGCGGAAGGCTAAAGAAAGACAGAAATGGAAAGCTGAGACTGACAACAGTGGGCCTATCTCTCTAACCCCTCCACATAGTCCTGACAGTGAGATTCAAGATGCAGTGCAAGCCAGACCAGAGTCTTCACGGTGAGGGAAATATGTGGTTAGAGATAGTGCTTGGTTTTAATTATGATAGCTTGTTTAAAAGACGCTGCTATATACACATTTGTAGGAAGGGAGCCATGGTTTACTGTTTTTAGTAGTAAATTCAGTCCCCCCCCCCCCCTTCCACTCACTCACTCACTCACTCACAAACAAACACATACAAAGCCATGGTGGTCAATTATTGCAAACTAACGATCCCCTTTCCATACATTGTATGGTTTCATCTTAGTCATTCAGCAGGCAAGAAAGCATCCAGAAAAGCAAGAGACACACTGCGCAAAGAAATAGAAGAACTAAAAAGGAAACTCAAACATCAGAAGAAGCAGAAAGAAAAATACAAGAAAAGACTCCAGCGAGCAACCATCGATAAAGACTCTCCCAGGTCCAAAGTCCGTCAACTGCTGAAGAATTGTACCGTGAACAGCAAGGTGAGGAAAACTTTACTGCACCATGAAGCCCTAATTTGTGATATTAGGATAAAGTACAAGAATGCCAGAAATGAAAAAGGAAAAAAAACTGTTGCTGAGGTTGTTGAGGGGAAGATAGTCAAGAAATACAGGCTGCAGAGGTGGTCTGAGAGAGCACTAGGCTTTTCAAAGAAACGCAGGACCTTGTGTGAGAATGAAGACCTGAGTAATAACACTGATACATCCCTGGAGAGCAAGGTGAAGACATTCTTCACAAGATGATGTGACTCAGATGACGACGGGCAAAAAGCAAACAGTAACAAAGAAGAAAATAAAAATGCAAAAACAATTCCTTGTAGACACGATGAAAAACCTTCACAGGAAGTTTCTGGCAGAAAACAATACTAGTCACATTTCCTGTGCCTCATTTTGCCGGCTGCAAACCTTTTGGGTTGTTCACCCCTCCCTTTCAGACCGCAACACCTGCTAGTGCAGGTTACATGAAAACCTGGGCTTTCTGGCTGACAAGCTTTGTCAGCTTAAGCTTATTGGAACATCAAATTTAGAGAGCCTCACCGAACTTGTCTGCTGTGACACTGGCAGCAAGGCCTGCATGTATGGAGAATGTGAAGGTTGCAAGAACAGAATCGTTCCCCTCTCAAGCTCATATAATGGTGCACAGAAGGTGACCTATATGCAGTGGGCCACAGAAGACAAAGCAAAATCAAATGGTGAAGAGAGCTCGGTCGCAAAAATAACAGTAAAGCAAACCATTGAGAGCAGTCAAGAGGAACTTGCAGAGAGGTTCCACACACACCTCACAAAGTTTAAGAGGCATCTCTTCAACATCAGGCAACAGTATGCCTACTACCGTGGACTGCGCAGCTGCATGGCCAATGATGAATGCCTTATTCACATTGACTT